GGCAGCTAATCAATGATTTTCATTATTGATGTTTCTCTTTCACCCTCTCTCTCTCTGAAATCAATTTAAAAAAATAAAACTTACATACTATGCTACATGGATGAACTTTGAATACATTATACAAAATGAAAGAAGGCAAACACAAGAGGCCACATATTGTATAATTCTATGAAATGTGCAAAATTGGCAAATTCAGAGATGGTAGATTAGTGGTTGTCAAAGATTAGGGTTAGGGGGATGAGGAGTGACTGCTAATAAATATTGAGTTTCTTTTTGAGGTAATGGCGTTCTAAAATTAGATAGCCATCCTGGTTGCACAATTTGGTAAATATACTAAGAAGAAAAAAAAACACACTGAATTGTGCGCTATAACATGCTGACTTTAAGTGATATTAAAAACAAGGGGGGAAAAACCAAAACTCATCAGTTGCTAATTATTTTAGTACATGTTGCTCTTACCTCTGCTCTTGGTGTTATGTCTTTATGTTGGAAATACTAAATAAAACTGTGTGTCTCTTAACTACAATACATTCAAAGACATGAAGTTGATAGCCTGACTTCAGTCAGGCAAGGGGTGGAGAGAGGATGGTATTTCCATCACAAAAAAATTGTCACATACTACAAGTCAAGGCTACCACCACGAGAGAGCCCACCTTTAAACACGTGGCCGCACATCACCGGCTGTGTGAGTCAGACAGGCATTTTGGGTAATTCTGGTAGAACCAGGGAGTTAGATGAGATGCATTTGGGGCAGAAACCATCGCTGTCGGTCAGCCGATGGACGAACCCACTTTGATGGGGACCAGATTTCTCCAGCTTTGCCAGTATGTGTGTGGGTTCAGAGGGTTCCCTGCTGGAGCTCCTCTGGGACCATCACAGTGAAACCAGGCATCAGATAAACCGTAACCAGTTTAAATCTTAGTCCCAGCGACGTCCGGACAACAGTGTCAGGGTTTGGAGACCAGGGGTTAACATAGTTACCAGTAGCTCTGTGGAGCCTGGGCGAAGAAGTCAAAGGTCTACAGAGTTATTGTTTTTTAAAACTATCCAAGAGTTTTGACCTCTATTTAAAGTGAAACTTCATAGGATTACCCCCACCTACTTCTGCCCTCCCCACCAGGCTAGTCCCTGGAGTCTAAACACTCCAGCTGTTCATAAGGACCTTTACAGATACTGTTAGGTCTGGGAGGAGAGAGGGAGAGAAGGAAGAAAGAGAATGGGTCAGAAAGTTCTGGATGTTCCAGGGTCCACAGCTTCCACTGGTTATCCTTTCAGGATTGGTTCCTTCTCCCAACAGACATTGGATGGACATGGGTGTGTGTCTGGCAGTGTGCTGGGAGGCTCCAGGGAAACAAACATTCGCAGTACAGTGTGACAGCCCAGTCTGTAAGGGTGTGATGTGAGTCTACGAAAAGCATGAACAACTATGCTAAGAAGTGGGGTGGGGAGATTTAGGGGACGGGTTCACGATCTAAGTGGAGATAGGACTTCTCTCTGGAGGAAGTGGTCATCGTGCAGAGCATGGTTTGAAGCACTTAAGGCACTTTCCCAGGGGCCTTGGCAGTCTGTTCTTGAAGACCATGACAGCTAAGTCTGCAGCATGATCTGTCTGTGCACATCGATGTCATCACCCCACCAGTGTCAGGAGAAACGTTCCCAGAGCCTAACTAGCCCCAAAGCAATGAGCACGGGTTCTGGCTCTTTGCAAAGGAAAATTGGGAAGCTGGACTTGCTCACCCTTTCCTCTTTAAGAAAGTTTATTTCCAAAATGTTTCCCACTGGGTGTAATGTCAAGTAACAAACTCTTAGCGGCCACAGACGGGGTGGGGGCAGAGGACCCAGTGAGGTCTTCAGCCACTCCCCAAGCCCACTTCCAGATCTGCGTCCATCCAGAGGCCAAGCGCTGGTGAGTGGATCAGAGTAATTTGGTGGAGGGGACCCAGTGGGCTCAAAGCAGAAAGACGTTAAAGAAGCCCAGGCCTCAATGTGCCTGGGAGACATGTTGAAGCCACCACGCCGAGGCGGCTCAGCTGGCCACGCTGACCTTGGCAAGCAGCACCCGGCGCTGAATCTAACCTGTCAACTAGATTGAAGGGGAGAAAAGGCAGAAGGACACAAACATCCACCCCCACCCCCAGCCCAGCCCCTGACGTCAGGCCTGGCGTGGGTGGCATTAATCACACCAGCGTGGTGTGCCGTTGAGCACAGCTCTCCTTCCAGCCCTTCCAACCCGTTCCTGGGAGCGTTCCACCAGCCATGCACCTGCCGCTGGCCACAAACCCTCAACCCCCAGACAGGCACGGATGCAGGCTGGCGCTGATGAAACCCAAAGCCACAGGGCACCCTTTACAACCGGAGCTTGGGAGGGGAAGGGAGGAAAGGGAACGCCAAATGCGGTGCCTATGCTGCCCTCCCAGGTGCTCATTTTCTAATGCCTGCAGTGCCCCCTCCAGAGAAACCCTCCCCATAAGATGGCCATTTCCTGGAATTTAATGAGTATAGAATTAATGACCCAAAGCCCTCCTTGCAGCCGGTCATTAATTCCTCCAGGAAATAACCGAGGTCTTTAATCAAAATTGCCCAAATTATAGACTAGTGGTGCATGTCCTCGCAGGTGGGGGGTGGGGGAGTTATCCCAACCGATTCCGATAGATGGCGCTTAGCTTCATAAATCACTCAATTTGTTTTCCATTTTCCCTGGGCCAAAGGCAGGGAGCATTGGGAAAAACACACACACACACACACACACACACACAAAAAAAAAAAAAAAAACAGCAGGGACTGGAGAGGACTTAGTAAAGGCCCAAACAGGAACGTTTTGTCCAGCGCTGTTTTCCGACCTGGCACGTACCTCAGCCTCCTAAGACTGGAGCCACCCCAGCGTGCAGCCTGAGGCCCCAGCAGCAGCCCTGCCTCCTCCTGCAGCCTGTGAGCTGGGTGCTGGCAGCCTCCTCCTAAGAAAGTTGGGGTGGCTGCAGACAAACCGTGCGGATTTCTCCTCTGTCTGCAGCCCTTGGGACCTGGCACCATGACTCAGATGTGAAGTCAGAAGTTGCTTTAGTTTGAGAGTCACAGCCTCCTGATGGATTTGGCAGGCGAGTATTTTAATATCTGTCGCACAGATTTTTAAAGTGCTTCAAGCCAGAGGTTAAAACGGCCATAATTTTGGTGGTGGCCCTTGTATGTGGCTTACAGATGCCTCAGTTAGGGAGCTCTGGTACCAGCCACCGCCTCATAGCGCTGGCTTCCATCCAGCCCAGCCGGACACGGAAGAGTGAAGCAAGTGAGTGAAATGCTGGATCCGGGGGAGCTGATCTAAACCTCCTAAGAGTGTGTACAAAGGCTGCATACATAGTAAATGATTCGCTTTTACAAGCTGATTGAAAGTGAGCTTGTCCCAACCCAACCAAGATCTGTACAACCAGAAGGGTGTCCCATGGACTGAAACAACGAGCTTTGCTGCAAAAAAATGAGCAAAATCGCCTCAGTCCAAAGCTGTCTGGGGAGTGCGAGACGCTGTTTCTCCCCTCACCTGCTGGCAGCCCAGTTCCTTACTGATGCAGTGGGTTACTGCCCCCTTCTCAAAGGTGAGGGGAGGACCTACCTTTTACTATTGTTTCTAAAGGTGCTCCGTGAGTGCAAAAGTGCCCCCACCACAGGACTTTTTTCCCTCCACCCTCTGCCTGAAATTGGGGTTGTCTAGTCCAGTGTTTTTCAACCTTTTTTGGGCAAAGGCACACTTGTTTCATGAAAAAAAATCACGAGGCACACCACCATTAGAAAATGTTAAAAAATTTAACTCTGTGCCTATATTGACTATATATAAAGTAATTCTCTTGAATAGGAATCAAATAAACACAAAGAAAGTATTTTATAATTACTTTATTATGAAATATTAAGTAAACAAAATAGTGAAAAATTATAAAATTCTTGTCTTGTCTGCACCTACGGCACACCAGGCAACATCTCGCGGCACACTAACAGCGGTTGAAAAACGCTGGTCTAGTCTAAGCGTCTGCCTCCACACAGTTCATCTCAGGTAAACCCACCTGGGCAGTCAGAGGGACTGCCCTGCCGCACTTTGCCTATGAACCCCAGAGAGGTCTCCTGGTGTGTGGATGAGCTGGGACCCCCACCGTCTTAACCTACAACACCTTGCCTCCCCATTTACTGTGACAAATGCAAATCATATGCATTTCCTTTTACTGCATTGTATTTCCCAGAGGCAGTGAAGGAGCCAGCTGGACTTTATTTTCTGGTAGTAAGAGGGCCCCAAGTTAAAGCACTCTCCCCACTTTAAAAAGAGATAGGTAGGTCCACCCCTACTTCCACCCCCATAATTAGAAACCTGGCCCCGCATTGCCCTGTCTTTGGGACTTCAAGATGTTTGCAAAATGGGAATAACACTGCCCGCCCAATCTACAGACCCGTCAAGACAATTGCGTAAACGCCGACTACAAAGGCGCCCAGCACCTAGTAGCCTGTTTTCTCCTTTCTAGGGGTGCGAGTTAATCAATTCTTGCTGGGAAGCGGATCGCGAATTTCAGCAGAACCTGACCCACGGAACCCTGACACTGGGGATGGGAAACTCGAGCAGCCCTGGGGTCTCTTCCTGACGACCCTCGGTGCAACACCCATTGGCGACCAAGGCGCGCAGCCCCTTCCCTTAACCCCACCCCCGGGGCGCGGCCGCCACTCCCACCCCCCACCCCCCACCCCATGGGGTCTGAGGTTTCGGGAATAAAGCAAAACGGGGCGGGGGGCGCGGCCGGCGGCAGGCTTCCGCGCCCTGGCGAACCCCGGCCTCCGGGGTCCGGCGGCGCGCGGCGCTGTTTGTGCCTCCCGAGGCGGCGGCGGGGGGCGCGGCGGGCTGTGGGCGTGGCGAGCGCGCGCCGCCTTCCCGCCGCGGCGCCCCCTCCCGGGCCGGGCGCGGGTGCGCGCGGGGAGCCAGTGCGCGCGCGCGCGCCGCCGCCGCTCCGCCGCCTTGTCCTCGCCCCGCCGCCGCCGCCGCCGCCGCCCCGGCCCCTCCCCGCCCCGCGCGCTGCGCACCGCCCGCCGCCCGCCCCGGGGACTCGCGCCCGCGCCCTCGTCCCTCCGACCCCGCGGCGGGCTCCCGGCGCCGGCAGCATGAGCGGCGGCGGCGACGTGGTGTGCACCGGCTGGCTGCGGAAGTCGCCCCCCGAGAAGAAGTTGAGGCGCTATGTGAGTGCGGGCGGGAGCGGGTGCGGCCCGGAGGGCGCGGGCCGGGGGCGCGGCGCGGGGCCTGCCGAGGGGCCGGGGGCCCGGGAGGGACCGCGCGGTCGGGGAGGGTGGGCTTCCGGCCTCCTGGGGACGAGGGGCTGCCGGCGCGCCCCGCGACTCGGGTGTGTCCGGGGGTGTGGGGGGGTGCCCGCACACCTGTCACAGGTGCGCCGCGAGCGCGGGGCGGGGCGGCCGGGCGGGCGCGCCGGCAGGTGGAGGCTGAGGCTGCGGTGCGCTCCCGGCGGGCTTGGCGGCGGCGCCTCCTGGGTAGCCAGCCTTCCCGTCAACTACACACAGAATGGAAGTTTGTGTCGGTGGTTTTCGGACAGCGACGGAGTTGGCTCCCGGGGCTGGGGGACGCTAGAAGCCCCGAGCGGCTTCCGCCTGCAGGATTGGGATGCAGGGTGGGGGAGTGGCGGGGGAAAGAGGGCCTAGGCTCCGGGGCCCGGCTGGCGGCCCCACCAAGGGCGAGGCCCCGCACACCCCTTTCCCCTTCCCTTTCTCTGCCCGCCCCTCCGAGGGCCGCCAGCTCCTTCCAGCCCAAAGCCTCTCTCTCCCTCACGGGCAGCGTCAGCGGCATGTGTAGCCCGTGTATTGAAGAGGCTCATTTGTTTGTCCCCTTCTGTTGCTTTATTCTGTGTATCCCTCACATACATCCCCCCAGCCCGGCCCTCGGCGGTGACACTGCAGTTTGGTTTGCTCCAAGGACCTGGGTTTTCTGTCGTGCGGTCCCGGGATCCGGGGAGAGAGAGATCGTGCTTCTCCGTTGCCAGGTGGTGCTGCTGACCGAGTGTTTACAGACAATTGTTGGGACTTCTCCCTTTCTAACCTCAGGGGGAACCTGGTCCAGTCCGGGGTTGAGTGGTGAGAAGGTCTGGCTTCTCACCCCACCCCCAAACTAGAAGATGACTTGCCTGGTGGGGGTCAAAGTAGAAGCTGGTGCCAATTACTGAGATTTTTGGCAGAAATCAGCCCTGGGCTATGCGCAGGAGTTTGGAATTAGAAGTTAGGTTGCTCAAAGGTGTCAAGGTCTTCATCTGTCCCCTGTGAAATGCCCTTGTTACATGGACTCCCCGGGCGGGACTCTGGGATCATTCCCGCAGCGGCGGCGAAGGGAGTGCTGCCTCCAGCAGCAGTGCATCAAGCGAGCTCTGAATAGACCCTGCCCCCTGTCAGCTGCACCAGTGCTGGGGTGGGAGGGTGGGGTGGGGGCAGGAGGCAGAAGCTCGCCAGAGTTTCCTGTCTTGGCTCCCCAGATCAGAACCAGAGGACTTCTGGCCTCTGGATTGAGGAAGTGACCTTCTGTGTGTGTGTTTTTAAGGAAGTGTTGTTGGTGGTGAGTGCAACTGTGTGTATGTAAATGAAACCAGGCCTTATGTAGATCATTTGGTGGGGGGTGGGGGGGATTCTAAAGATTTAGCACAGGACTTTTGAAAGAGGACATACTAGTATAGTTAAAATACAGTAGGGATGTGGCAAGGAAGTGTTCATCTCCATTTTAAAGCTCATTTTCAGGGATGTCCATGTAGCCAAAGAACTATAATTACTGAGAAAGAAGCTCTTCTGTTCTTCAAAGTGGTATCAGTTCATTAGACCAGGTTTTTATATTAGGTTAAGGAAGAGCATGTGGCTGTTAATGTTTTCATAAATATAAAAAACCAAAAGTCTGGCCGAAACCGGTTTGGCTCAGTGGTAGAGCGTCGGTCTGTGGACTGAAAGGTCCCCGGTTCGATTCTGGTCAAGGGCATGTACCTTGGTTGCGGGCACATCCCCGGTAGGTGGTGTGCAAGAGGCAGCTGGTCGATGTTTCTCTCTCATCGACGTTTCTAGCTCTCTATCTTTCTCCTTTCCTCTCTGTAAAAAAATCAATAAAAATATATTTTTTTAAAATTAAAAATAAAAAAACACACCAAAAGTCTGGCCCCATAGAGCTTCTGAAAACTAGCGATGTAAGTGGAATACCACGCCAGCTAATGGAATAGAGTATCCAGTGGTTGTCAGATTAGAACGCTAACCTCCAGAACCTTGGAACTTTGTTTTTTGAAACAGTTTGCAAACAGTTTGATACTGTATCTATATTTGACTGTGACTGCTTCAACTCTGTCACCCAGACTCTACTTATGACCCACTTATAGAGTCTGCTTGTTCCCCGCCCCCCCCCCCCCCCCCCCCCCCGGAAAAGAACTTTAGTTCAAAAAACCAAGTAGGAGGCTTTGGGGTTAAGCACCTTTCCCACTCATTTCATGTACAGGCATCCCTCGTTTTATTGTGCGCTTCGCTTTGTTGCACCACACAGGTATTGCGTTTTTTACAAATGGCAAGATCCCCCACCAGCAAAAAGATTATATCTGACTTTATTGTGAAACTCACTTTATTGAGGTACTTGCTTTATTGTGGTGATCTGCAACCAAAACCTACATTATCTCTGAAGTATGCCTCTGCATACTTGACTATCTGCATTCATACAATGCCTTGAGCCTTGTCCCATCTTCCCCACAGCTGCAGCCTATAGGCATCTAATGAAACCAACAACTTTCCTTAGGCTACAGAGTGATGTGTTCCATTGGTATGACTGGAAGTCTCCCCTACTGTGGGAAGTCCAGATCCCTGCGTTAAAACTGAACTGATCTGTGTAATCCTGAACTCTCGAGGAACAAACTGTCTGCTTTTACATCTTTTCTTCTGGGGTATCGAACATTTTGGCACCCTGTTTTAAATTTAAATTCTGCCAGTTCCCTCTGTTTGCTTAGAGGCCCACATTTGTTAGAACTGAATGAGGAAAGAAGTATGTTCCAGCCCCATTGCTAACGACATACACCAAAATATTATTCTAGTGTATACATAATAGTCATAGTTATCAATAGTTATAGATTGATAACTCTACATTGTACGAATTGTTATCAAGCATCTCAAATAATGGGAAAAGCAGCTTATAAAATAGATCACAGCTATTTAAATTTAATCCAACAAATCCTTGTTACCAAGGATTAGCTTTAGGGATTTTCTTCATCCACCTTTTATAGCTTATTAATCATAGGAAAGTACAAAAGGTCTGTTCATTATTTCTATGTGCCCTGGAGCAATTACTAAAAGTGACCTCTGCAAAATGGTGAGTATTACCTCTGGGCATCATGATTTGATTGCAGTGGTAGGAAGACTAGCCCTTCCATTCTGCTGCAGTGTGTGTGTGCCCTTCCCAAAGCCAATCCAAAGGCTTTGAAGACAAAGCAGTGCTGAAAAGCGTCCACAGGCCCCCCCCCCACCCCTATACACACACAAAGAAGAGCCGCACAACACCCACCTTCCTGTGTCCAGCACACTGGGGCTCTCTCTGAAGGCAGCCCAGATATTCTTGGAAGATCGCCCCAGGGAGAAACAAGCTCGACCACTACGCCATCATCAGGTTCCCCCCCAACTACTGAGCCAGCCATGAAGAAGACAGAAGACAACAATACACTTGTGTTCACTGTGCATGCCAAGCCCAACAAGCATCAGATCAAACAGGCTGTGAAGAAGTCCTATGACATTGACGTGGCCAAGGTCAACACCCTCGTCAGGCCTGATGCTCCGCTGGCTCCTGTGATGCTGTGGGTGTTGCCAATATAATTGGGATCATCTAAACTGAGCCCAGCTGGCCAACTATAAATATAACTGTTTTACACTGTAAAACAAACAAACAAACATATTATGACATACACGGCTCTGTAATTTTCTATTTCATGGTGTTAAAAGATATAGCTTCAGATTGGCAGCAGTAATGCCCCCTAGTGGCTAGTTTGGAGAAAATTGAGTATTGATTCTAATGAGCAACTGAATTGAGGGAATTGTTTGCTTTTATTTATTAAATACATGTATTTATTAAGTATCTATGTCCAAGGCACTGGATTTCATGCTGGGAATAAAAATTAAGCCAGCCATTCAGTCTTACCAGATGACCTTGCTTTCTCTTTCACAAAGAAGATTGAAGCTACCAGAGAGCAGCTGTCTGCACATACTGTGACCAACTTTCCAAATGCATGTGTATCTTCATGGTTCCTTTCCTTCTTAGAGTAGATGAGGTGCCCCTTCTGACTGAGCTATCCTGCCACATGTGCTCTGGGTCAGATCCTCTCCTACCTATTCAGATAATTCATACCCTTTCTGTCATGAATCTTCAACTTCTTCCCCTCTACCTATTCCTTTTTATTAATATTTATACACGCTTGCCTTTTTTCTTCTTTTTATTTATTTTTTTAGAGAGAGAAAGAATAAGGGAGAGGGATAGAAAGGTAGAAACATGGATCCAGCTGCCTCCTACACACCCCCTACTGGAGGGTTGAGCCCAAAACCTGGGAATGGGCAAGTGACCTCTTGGTTCATGAGTGGATGCTCAACCACTGAGTCCAGGCAACACATAACTTGCTTTTAACAAAATTCTCCCTCAACATCACACCCCTTCCTTCTCACTGTGCTTTTTTTCTTTTTTTTTTTCTTTAGAGCTAAACTTGCTAATGGCTATTTATATTATGTCTCCCTTCCACCTTCTTCTCAGTTAGCTCCAGTCTGAAACCTACTTTGTCATTTCACCAAAGTGATTCTCAGCAGGTCACTAAGTCAGAGGTTTATTTTTCACTCCTCATTTTAGGTTATCTCTTCACTACTAGGTCACAGTGGACCACTCTTTCTTGAAACACCTTCCTCTGATCTTCAGCAATACCATATATGCCAGGTTTTTCTCCTCTTCTGGCCATTTTCAGGCTCCTTTGTTGGATTGGCCCTCTTTACCCAGCACTTAAAGGGTGAAGCTACTCTATAGGCACAGTGGCTCTGATCTAGGCTCTTTTCTCCTCCTCCGTCATCCATTCTGCTGGCTTCAGTTATCATTTTAATGCTGGTCAGTATCAAGTTGAAGTTCCATCTTAGAGCTGTGTTCTGAATGCCAGATTGGCATATGCAGTTGTTCATTGGACATCTTTGCATGCATGCCTCCCAGTCAACAGACTCCCCACACCAAAACTAAACTATTCTCTGTTCCTCTCTTCTTCACCCCGTGGCTGCTCAGAAAATGGTGCCACTGTCAAGTGGGAAACTTGGGAACCATCCTTGACTCTGGTCACCCACTGTTCCACATCCATAATCTTTCACCAAAACCCATCAGTAATATTATTCAAGATCTTTTTCTACATCCTTCTCCACCCCCCTGCCATCCCTCAAGATTACCATTTTAGGCTGAAACCGGTTTGGCTCAGTGGTAGAGCTTCGGTCTGCAGACTGAAAGGTCCCAGGTTCGATTCCGGTCAGGGACATGTATGTTGGTTGTGGGCACATCCCCGGTAAGGGGTGTGCAAGAGGCAGCTGGTCGATGTTTCTTTTTCATCGACGTTTCTAGCTCTCTATCTCTCTTCCTTCCTCTCTGTAAAAAATCAATAAAATATATATATTTTTAAAAGATTACCATTTTAATAGTCATCTGCTTAGTACTTGCCCTGTGCCAGGCACCATGCTGAGACCATTGAACTCTTAATTTAATTCTTTAACCCTGAGAAAAGGGAAATGACTTTCACAACTTCATCTCACTGTGTCTCAAAGCCTGAGTTTTTAAAAAAATTAAACTTTTTATTTTGAGATCATTGTAGATGCCTATCTAGTTTTAAAATAGTAAAGAGAGTTCCTGTGTACTCTTTTCTAGTTTTCCTTGTGGTAATATCTTGAAAAACCAGTGACCTGGTTTTTAGTATAGTAATTTCACAGTAGATATTGACAGTGATACAGTCAAGGTACAAGACATTTCGATATCTTCATGATCCCTCCTGCTGCCATTTGTAGCCACCATCCCACTCCCACTGCGTCTTTAACCCAGGCCAACCACTAATCTGTTCTCCACCTTTGTCATTTTGTTACTTCAAGAGTGTCACCTAAATGGATTCAGACAGTATGTAACCTTTAGGGATTGGCTCTTTTTCATTGAGCATAATCTGGACACTCATCCAAGTTGTATTTTTTTATTGCTGAGTGGTATTCCAGGGTACGGATGTACCACAACTCATTTGTTTAACTATTCACCCATTGATTATAACTTACATTTTCCTTATGGATAATGATATTGAACATCTTTTCATATGATTTTGGTACATCCTCTTTCAAATATTTATAAGTCTTTTGTCCATTTTATATAGATTGTTTATGTTTCTTTGCTGTTGAGTTTTGCGAGCTCTTTATATGCACAAAATGTCAGTCCTTATCAAATATGTGGTTTGTAAATATTTTCTTTCAATCTGTAGTTTGTCTTTTAATTCACTTAACAGTATAGAGGTTCCTCAAAAAAAATAAAAATAAAAGTAGAATTATATGATCCAGCAATTCCCCTTCTGGGTATATATCCAAAAGAAACGAAAACAATATCCAAAAGATATGTGCACCCCAGGGTTCATTGTAACATTATTCACAATAGCCAAGATTATATTGGTGGGCTATATTGGCATACAATGGATTATATTGTCCATTGAGATACACTGGATGAATGGAGAAAGAAGATGTATGTGTGTAATATATGTAACACACAATGGAATATTATTCAGCCACGAGAACGAAGGAGATCCTGCCATTTGCAACACATGGAAGGACCTTGAGGGCATTATAATAAGTGAAAGAAAATTAGATAGAGAAATATTGTATGATTTCACTTGTAGACTGATTCTAAAAAGAGCCAAACTTATGGAAATAGAGAGTAAAATGGTGGTTACCAGAGGCTGGGGTGGGGGAATTAAGCAATTGTTGGTCAAAGGGTACAAGTTTCCAGTTAGAAGACGAATAAGTTCAGAGATCCAGTACACAGCATTGTGAAATAGTTAACAGTACTATATTGTATACTTGAAATTGCTAAAAGAGTCACTCTTAAATGTTCTCACCACATAAAAAGAAATGGTATTTATCTGATGTGAGGGAGCTGTATGATGGTAATCACACTGCAATATATAAATGTGTCAAATCAACATGTACACCTTAACCTTACACAATGCCATATTTCATTAACTCTCAATAAAGCTGATGGAGAGAAAGGACAGGGGAGAGGGAGGTCTTTAGAAACTACAGTGAATTCAAGATTTGTTTCTAGACCATCCTAGGCAGCCAAGGCTTTATTCTAATCAACTATTTGAGTATTTAAATAAATGTTCTATCTGGTTCCAGTTCCTGGGTCAGATAACCAGGTGGAAATTCCTTTTGGCAGCTTTCTGTTCGGTGGTCCTAATCACGGATTGGTTCTTTGAACGTGTTCACAACATCAGAGAAACTGCTCTGACCCAGGGCCCGTCTCCTGAGCTTCTTGTCACAAGCCTTGGATCAGGATTTCTCAACAGATGAATGAATAAACCAAATGTGGTATATACATACAATGGAACATTAATCAACTTTTAAAAGGACATTTTGATGCATGGAAATGCTACAACATGGATGAGTCTTAATCACATTTAGCTAGGTAAATAAGCCAACAAAAGGATTCCACTTTTATGAGGTACCAAAAGGAGTCAAATTCATAAACAGAAAGTAGAATGGTGGTCTCCAGGGCTTGATGGCGGGGAGATAGGGGGAAGGGGAGAATGGGGAGTTATTATTTAATGAATACAAGGTGAAAAGCGTTCTTGAGACAGATGTTAGTGACGGTAGCACAAAAATGTGAATACTGCACTTAACGCTACTGAACTGTACACTTAAAAAATGGTTGAGGTGGTAAATTTTGTGTTATTTGTATTTTAGTGCAATTTTTTAAATGTCAAGCTCCTTATTTGCTAAGGGTTAGTACTTGACTTTGCTAATACTTGTATAATCCGAGGGAAAAGGGGATGAAATGTTCACAGCCTTAATGATAATGGAATGTTCTCTCGGATATCTGAGGACCAGAGGCAGTGAAATCGTACAAAGCAGGAGCTCATGCCTGCTGCTTTGCCTAATGAAATGACCGACATGGCTTTCTGTCTCCAACTAAAAGGGAATAATGGGATGAGGTAACCTCCAGTTTATGAGATACGCTGAGAAATATAGGTTCCTGAGGAGGTTATTGCCTGTATCCGCGTTCATGTGGACAAGCATTTCTTTTGCACCCTTTTTCCTTCCCAAGGGAATGCATCAATACTCAGTCCTGCCTACGAGGAATTTGCAAGCTAGGGAGACAGAAGTGTACATGTGAAGTAGCAATGCCCTTATATGGAGCAGTATGATCCAGGCAGCAAACTTCATGAAGGCGAGGGCTCTGAGCATGGGAACAGTGGAGGAGGAGTTGGGGTTGAGAGTTGGACCCAAAAGATTAGGGCCTAGAAAGGAACAAGGCAATTCAAGTGGGAAAGGGTAGTACATGTGGGATTTGGGGGATGGGGGGGAGTGAAAATCCATCCAGAGTGGAGGAGTCTATGGAAGAAATCAAATAAGGGTGGGAAAGTAAATCGAGAGCTGAGGAGAAGAGTCCATAAAAGGCCTTCAGTGATAGGATGACATTTATTAATGAAGAGCTCTGACTCATATGTCTTTGCCTCTGAGATAGCCACTCCTTTAATGTGAAATGTCAGTGGTGTGTGGACTTTTTTTTTTTTTTTTTTTTTTTTTTAATCTTCAGAAGTCTTAGTGCTTCAAGGACCTTGGAGTCCTTAAGCAAGTGACTTGATTCTTTGAGCCCATGTACTTCCTTGTCTGTACAGTTGGAGCAGTAGCTCTTACCTCGCTGAGTTTGAGAATTTACTAGGATATAACAAGTGAAAAAGACCTTAGCACAGTGTTTAGCCCAGAGTAGGTGTTTAATATTAGGGGATGTGGCAGGAGAGGGTGATGTTTATTGATGTGTGTTAACCCTTTCATAGGGACTCGGAACATGGGCTCTTAGTCTCTTTTTTCTAT